AAAAAAAAAGCAAAAAAAAAAAAAAGCAGAAAGATGGCTTTATGATTAAAATTTTCTGAAATGCAGACTACAGACTACATTTTATGTACATTCCTTTGGAAAATAAATATGTAGTCTCAGAGATTTTAATTCCCCTTTAGGCAACTTTTGATTATTTGTGTGTTGGTTATCCTTTGGCAGAGAAGCTGCACATTCTGTTGCTTCAGAAATTCAGCAGGTATGTCTACAGCAAGCTGTACTACATCACCTTAATAATGGCTTGAAATGATTAATTCAAGGATTAAATCTGATCTCTTTTCTCTATAAAATCCTGAATTAATGTTTTCTTTGATCAAGTGTGTCCATTGCTTTAGTACGCTTATCCTCTTCTCATACTACTATAAATGTCTTCATATTCACTTGTTTTTTGAAAAACTGAAAAATAAAAACCATAAGAAAAATGAAGACTTTTTCATCTAAAACTGAGAATGTATGGTTTGCCCACTTATATCCTGAATGCAGTATGTGTTTAGTAACTATCCTGTTACTGTCTGTAATATGCATTTTTATAATATTTAGGTTCATGTTGCTTGAGCAGATAACAAATAGCTTTTAACATTCCATACCACGTTAAATTTTGCAAAGGAATCTGAGAGAACTTACATCTTTGGTTAAAAAAAAACGGGAAAAAAGATATGAGACTTGAAAAATCAAAAAGATGCTTTCAACTAAATTATAAGGTTAGCTTTTGGTCAAAGAAAACTGACATTGAAAATTAAAAAAAAAAACGAAAAATGAAATGACTGTAGAAGTGAACGAACAGTGGAGAATGCTTTAAGAAAGTTCAAAACCCGAAATATTTTGAATTACCAGTATGATGTGTTTCACCAAGAGGCTCGAGTTTTCGAAGTCTATTAAGTTTAGGAGTTCCCCATCCAACTAAAGAAAAACAAAGACTGTCAAAATACATCTCGACTTGATTCTGAGAAAATTTATGGACCAGGCTCTTTTTGGAGAATTCAAAGCATTTAGGAATGGAAAAAAAACCCTATTATATATTTGATGAATTCCATTTAGATAATTTTAAAATAAAACAATCTACCCTTAAAAATAAGGATATTTTGATTACCCACTGATATTAGTCTGACTTTTTTCCTGTGCATGTGAAAATAACAACTTCTCCCCATGGTATGAATGAAATCAACACTGCTAAAACGTCAGATTGTGAAGTGGGAAACCACATCAGAGATTTCTTAAAGAAGAAGTTTTGGCAGTATATCTCTGTGTGCATATCAGATTCATCATTGACAGATAAATATTTTAAAAGTCTAAAAACCACAGATTGAGACATCAGTTATTGTTTATTAGTACATTTACCTGGTGGAAGAGCTGGTGGTGGTGTAGGATTTGGGGGAACTGCATCATCTCCATTAATGGGTTCTACTCTGTGGCCTCTTTTTAATTTTGTTTTTTTATTTTTCTTCTTACTGTTATCTATATAGAAAAGAAATAATTAAATGAATAAATAATTACATACCATATGGTTATATTCAGAGAACATGTTAAATCATCTTTTAATATGATTACTGGGGTGAGATGAGCATTTGCAGTCTAGATTTGCACAATACAACAAAAGTTTGTGAAATGTACAATGTATACAGCACACTTTGTTACTGTAAGCATAAAATATATGCAAACTCTACATTTTAATAAACAAATTCATCTTAGCTTGGTAGCGATGGCAACTGGATCACATATTAGATTATGGTAACAAAGGACTCAGTTTCAGCTGTAATCACAGAATCATAGAATCACCAAGGTTGGAAAAGACCTCCAAGATTATCCAGCTCAACCATCCACATGCTGCCAATATTTCCCACTAAACCATTTCCCTCAGTACAGCATTTAAACACTTCTTGAGCACCTCCAGGGACAGTGACTCCACCACCTCCCTGGGCAGCCTGTTCCAGTGAGTGACCACTCTCTCAGAGAAGAAGGATTTCCTAACGTCCGACCTGAATTTCCCCTGGCACAACTTCAGGCCATTCCATCTAGTAATATCAGTCAAACTAGCAAATACACACTTTTTATAAGTAGATTTTTCAGATCAATAACTGAATGGTGTGCTTTCAGTAGATTCAATTAACATGTAGCATCTTGAAAAGTAATGCAGACATATGGAAGAAATGTGTGAAAAATAACATTAGAAGGAAGCAGAGTTACCTGAATCAAGGCTTTCTGAGGTTTGTTGCTCATTTTCTTCATGCTGCAAATGTTCTGTAGTAGTAGAATTGCATGTTTCTAGTCTGGTATCATTTGTTTTTTGACTACCATTAATTGATAATTGCTGAGCATCCACTCGTTCCTGTTCTGTCTGAGATGTTGAGACAACAGTCGCCTTTTCAGTCTCCAACCTTTGCCGCTTCTTTTCCTTTTCAATTTGTTTTTCATTCTAATAATAATAATAATGATAATATTTTAATTTGTTTTTATAAATTCTAATGCCGTAAATTAGTGATATACTGAAATATTCCTAAAGTACTTTGTTGTTTGTTTGTTTGTTTGTTTATGTCCCACATATAGCATACAAACTGTTTTCAGACAATAATTGAAGAAGGTAACATCTCCATTACACTACCTGTGGCACAAGAAGAAAAAAAGACAAGGGACTTACAGCAAAAGAAATTATCTTTAGGTAATCTTTGACATCCACTTACATATGACTGACAGAGCTTTACAGCCTGTTTTCTTGCTTTGTTTTATTTTTTGGTTAGATGAGGGAAAAAAAAAAAGACACTACATATATATACAAGAACAGTAGTCCTAAGCAAATTTTTTTTCGTTGTCCTAAATTTCAATAGAAAACAACAGGTTATGCCGAGAAATCTAAGAAGTTGAAGCAGACAGGGAGATTTTATCTAAGTAACTACAACACTAAAATACTTTACTTGTTGGCAGACTTGGAATATTTTCCAGTCCTGAATGTCCAATAGTTTAATCAGGAAATATTTTCAATCAAATGTTTACAGTGTGATTATTTTACTGTGTCTTCATTTTTTTCTCCCTTAAACCAATACTAGGGATTTTCTTAACATGAAAAGCATTGATTCATTGCACAGAAAACAAGACTGCCAAGATTAAAAAAAAGTGCTGTGTGTACAGACTTAGAGCAATTCTTTCAAAGAAACTACTTTTCTTATTACCTCTCAGACATTTGTTAGAAGGTCTAAAATGATCCAGATTTCCACATATTTTCATACCTCAGATATTACTGCAGCTATAGGCTGGAAAGGGTTTTCAGAATTCCCAGGCTCAGGGTCCTCCTCATCATGTACACTTCTTCCTTCTTCTCTTTCCCTTTTTAGTTGATATTATTTTGTTGTTGTTACAGTGTGTTTTGTGGGTAGAGGAGAAAGATGAATGAAGAATTATGAAATAGCCAGGTCATAAATTTTACAAAATAAGACCAGTTATTAGGTCATCTGACTCATCCTCCAGGATATGCCAGCTGATTTTTACAGCATCTTTCTCTATTTTGAAACACATTCTACAAAAATCACTGTAACAGGCTAACATCAGTAGAACATAAGGACACATTGTAGCAGAGATAAAAATACACACTGTTACGTGCCAGAATGCTCAAGCTGCACTTCAGAAAGCCTGCAGTTTCTAGGGACCAGGCATGTGACAGAATACTTCTGTAAGAAAGATTTTGATGGTTCAGCAGTATGATGAAATATCAGGATTGTTAATCTTCCACAACTGTTATTTCATGGTATTCAACTATTAAGAAAATTGACATGCTGAGAAACCAGACTATCTGAAACATCTACATGATTGTATTTCACACAATCATAGAATCACAGAATGGCCTGGGTTGAAAAGGACCACAACGATCATCTAGTTTCAACCCCCCTGTTATGTGCAGGGTTGCCAACCACTAGATCAGGCTGCCCAGAGCCACATCAGGTTACGCACCCAGCCATTACTCACCCAAATGAATAAAAAAAAAAGTGGTTTGGATTTCTTTAAGAGGAAAATCACAAGTGAGAAGCGATATTCTGAACAGAAGTAAACGGTTAATATTTCCCAAGAATAAGCACCAAGTCAGTTCTGTATTTAACACATTCTGTTTCTCATCGTTCTAGATTCTCTTCACATATGGAAAGGAGAACAGATGACAAACTAATCAGTATATATAGTAACAGTTAGGGAAAATTATTTGTTTCAGTGAGAGTCAGAAAAGTTGAGAAAATCAAGCCAAATCAGTAAGGGCACAAATCAAGAGACTTCACAGAAGCTTCACAGTTACTTCTCAGTAACTCAGCAATACTCAGTAACTCAGACTTGTGTGTCTCTACATTTTTAGGGCAGACAGAGACAAAATGGGCACTTAGAGCATTTTATGATAATGCCCCAGTAAAATGATTCACAACAGTCTCTAATAGGAACCCTGGTAGGCTGCTGACAACTGCAGAAGGCCTTGGAATGAAAGTAATAAATGCTCAGATCATTTGAGTTGGAAGGGACCTCTGAAGGTTCTCTAGTCCAACTTCCCTGCAATGAACAAGGACACCTACAGACAGATCTGGTTTGTCAGATCATGAGTCCCTACTTCCCTGCATCATCTTAACTCCCCTCCGTGCCTTGTGGGCTGGATATCCTAAAGTTTATTAGGCATAGCATCAAGTAAAGCTTAATCTCTGATATTCACATATGGGTTACAAAGTGTCATTTAAGTTAGCAAAAGGTTATTTTAGGACACACCTGAAAATATATTGAGACTAAATGACTATATACATATTTATTTTTAGCATCCTGTGAAGTTCTATCAGCAAGACCAAATTTATTCCACAAAAGGCTTTGCAATTCTCACTCCAGCATGAAAAAAGGAACTGAAACAGGCAAAAACTGTTTTTTCTTCTTAAAGAAAAGGTTTGGCATTCAGGTCCTTACTTCTAATATGTAAGCCTTAGCTTGAAGCCTTAAATCCATCACATAAGCTCTATGAACAAGAATTAATCAAATATCCTAGAGAGGGAGGGAAGGGAGGTAGAAGAAATAAAAGAAAAAAAACCTTTCTTCTCGTATCCTTCTCACTCGCTCAGCTCGTTCTCTTTTCTTTTGTTCCTCATATGCTTTTTGTTCTGTAGTATCTCTTTGGATGCGCTCATTTAAGGCATCAAAATCTTTTGCTATGATATGCAGAAGCCAATATAAACCTTTTTTAATTGATTTATCAATTTTTTTCCCATAGCCCATGACAGCTGAGCAAGGTTCCTGTAAATATAAGAAGGGAAAAAAAAAAGGGGGAGAAATTATTTAATTATTTGCAGTTCAGATTACTTCACCAAATACATTGGCTCAGTCAAATACTCTTGATCTTAAGCTTGCAAAACATTAAGAAGTATGAGAAATAAATCTGCATTTAGTTATTGTGTAAATGTAGGTGCATTTTTTTGCTAAGATACAAATCACATCAGATCTACCAAATTCCTGTATTTCCAGTCCCACTTTGGCAATACTACCTGCTGCAGAAAAATATTTGCATGTCAATCTCCAAATAAACATACATATACACCAGTTACATACATATCCATTATTTATTTACACATCTATTTATATTCCTATTTCAACAGACAATCTATGCATCTCCATATAAATATAAGCATTTCATCAAACTTAAATATATATTTTCTACCTTGCTGGCGCTTTATAATAGCCTAAATTATATTTATCTAGTAAAATGGAAGAAAAAAAAAGAGAGAGTTCCAAGGGAATCAGTTTAGCTTCAGTTCGTGAAATAAATGTTCAAATTATTCACAAGCATTTAGGAGATTAATAAAATTCTATCTGAATTTGTCAGAAAAACTCAAACCTCTTCAGTTTCTCAGATCAGGACAGAAGTGAAGTAAAACATCCATTTTGACTGAAATAAAACTTTTGCTATGATACTCTCATAAACAAACAGACACAACTGGGAAAACATGCAAAATTTTGCTGAACTAGTTTAGAATACTCAATACAACACTTGAGATAAGAGTGGTTGACTAAAAGGAATTAAGAGGAACAGAAAAATGATTTTAAAAACATTGATTATTAAGTACATCTGGTAAGAACGTGTTGAAAGGACAGGAGTGGGTTTCTCCGTGAAATGAAAAAGCATCAAGGAGTTATGATAATAGTCCTCAAAAAAGGAGAAAATTCCGAATAGGAAAAGAATAATTTTTTGTTTGTGTTTGTAATCAGGAAGACAACTATAACTGGCTCTAATTGGAACAAAAGAGATGTGGCTCAATTCTAAGGTTCAAATATGAGTGTTATTTATTACAGAACACCACAGCATTCTCTAGAAAAACCTTATCAGGGAGAAGATGTGTAGGCATGTCTCTGAGAAACTAAGCTAATAGACCGGTCTATTTTCGCCTAGGCTTGCACAAAGGTTACTTTTGTAGTGGTTCAAGTATAAAATATAGAAATTTAGAGATAGAGAAAACATAGAAATATTAAAAAAAGATGATGGTCATTCTTACTGATACTGTATGACTGCTAGACAAATGACTGAAATTGCTTTAATATTTCTGCAGAGAAATATAAAAATCCAAAAGAAAACTGATTGAATATTAAAAAAAAAAGTTTTTTGATTCCCACCTCATTTTATTTAAATCTTTTTTTGTTTCATAATCCCATATTTAAATTCATCCCATGAATGATCATACTGAAAGAGCTTGGGACCAAATTTATCTTTAATGATCCTAGTAAAAACCTTTCCTTGGGAGTTGAAACTAGATTATCATTATGGTCCTTTTCAACCCAGACCATTCTATGATTCTATGATTCATACTTCATAAATAAATTTGCAAGATTCTTACAGCTGCTTTCAGTTGAAATGACTCAGCGTACACAGACTAGTTTCAAGATAAAAACAGAATGAGAAATTAAATAAATCTAAAGTACTGGAAATATGCATTAGAATCTCTCAAGTTTTTTCTACTGTTAATCCTTTGTAAGAAAATAATATTACCACAGAAGTCCCTCAAGAACAATACTGTGATCTTTTTACATTTATGATTGCTGCTGTATACTCAGTGAAATGTCTGCTGAATGAAGAAAAGCCTTCAAAGGGTCAAGACACTATGATCTAGCTGTGGCTATGCTATAATACAGCTTCCTACAAAATAACATTATATCTGTGCTACTCAATGAATATTTTAACTCTTCCTACAGAATTAAAAATCCTTTTAACTTTAAGATCCACATATCAGATGGAATGTATATTCAAAATCATCTTCCAATGTTGTTTAATAGTTTCTATATAGTTTGTAATATTCTTAAAACATTGATGTGGCAATTACAAAAAGATCGTACACTTAAAACTCACAAATACTTAAATTAGAAGACTTGTTGATAAAAAATAAACCATAACTACCACATCTAAAATGTAATTATTTTAGGACAGATACTAACTAGACCTTACTGCACCTACTGGGCTGGGAATTAGAAGAAATTACTTTACTTCATTTACTTTATTCTTAGTTTCGCAGATGATAACTCAGACTACGTGAGGTTTTAGCTATGGACAGAACGGAGACAAACATTACAACTGAACAGTGGTCCTTCCTGAATGTCAACATAAGCAAATTTCACTAATTCATTATTTTTATATGGTTTCAAGGTGGACCAGTAAGTACATTTTGACAACCTCTGTAGTGATTTCTTCAACAAATTCAGAAGCCAAGTATCAAGGTGAACAGTAGATTTTTGCGTGCAAGAAAAAAAAAAAGTACAGATATACATACTGTATCTTTGCTGGGGTTGCAGGCTTCTTGTTTCATTTTTATGCTATATAGCATAATCCCCTATCTCCTTGCAAGCATTATGTAGGCTGCAGAGCTCAGTACAAGCATGACACTAATGCCCTATAACTTGCACTACCCACTGATTTTTAACCTCTTATATCTTGAATGAATTATATTCAAGCAGAATCTAAACAAGGAGATGTATGGCAGAAATACCTTGTTTCTGTAAGGATTAACCTTGTTTCTCTGAGAAAAACTAAGATAATAGACAGAACTGGTGTAAATTTCTTCAGGGTTTGCATAAAGGTTATTCTTGTTGCTGGGATTGCAGGCTTCTCATTTCAGTGTTATGCTAAACGGCATAATTCCCTACCTCCTTACAAGCACGTATGCATAAGAAAATGAAGCATCTTAAAATATACTTACAATCTGACACAGACATTTGTGCTCATTGACAAGCTTTTCCAGAGATAAGGTCTCAATTACATCTGCTTCTGACAGAGCTCCTTCTCTGTCCTGCTTATTTGCCAGCCTGAAGAAAAGATCAAAAGGAAACACTCAGCATCCAGAAATATGGAAGAAATCAAATCTTCAGAACTACATTTCTGACAAAAGTAGGAAAACGTAGGAGAAAGTAAAGAGAAAATGCCTTACTCCAGCTTTAATTCTTAGTTCTTTCTACCATACACCACTTTCACCAGAGATACAAATATTAATTACTACGCACCCACAGACAAAGCAATTTTATTTTACAGCTGAAAAGACAGCAACTGTACTGCTCACCTATGGCAACCCAGTATAACCTGCCAGGGTCTGTGGATCAAAGTTCAGAACTTTGCAACTTCCCAAACCACATGCACTTTCCACGTGCACATCATACTGCTTCACAATCACCTCAGGTCTGCCTACTATCTACTATTTTTCTCAGCTGCCAAACAGTTTGGTATGCAGTATCTTGAAGCTGTTATTCATAAGTAAAACTCAGAACTTGCATGAACAGCTCTAAAAGACATATTTTATTATTAAAACAAGAGAAGAAAAAGGAAGGTATACAAAATGCATAACTTACCAAATAACTGCATAACTGCACCAGTAATGTGTTTTATACACTACAAATGTAACCTGATTCACTACACCAAGAATGTTTTTCATTATTTCACACTTGAATATGTACACTGACCTGAAAACAGAGGATACTATGATCCTTTCAATACTGTTGAAAGAGTTATCAGTATTCATTAAAAATAAAACTGCTTGGAGTTACAAACATTCTATTAAATTCTTCTCCTCAGTAAACTTCTGCTTATACCTCAGTATAAACACAAAAGATACCTCCTTTTATCATAACTAAATTTTTAATGTTTAATTGGAATCTCCTTTATATAATATGAAATTGAAAATGTTTCTAATCTAAAATCCTGACAGAACTACTTCTCACAGAAAGGTGAAATGTTGTCCCTGATGGGGATTTCTCATAGCTATTTCAAGCAATGATTTTCATGAAAAACACAGAACTTGTCAATCCTTGAGAATTCAATTTCTTGAATAAAACAGACTTAAATGGGTCACCATACAAGAAGACAGGATGCATTATAGGCATTGTGATCATGTATGTCTCCCTTCTTTAGGAAAATGGGCTACAGTCTGTGAATCTGTAAAATCTCCTCACTCACTCTCTAGCAATATGCATTTATCCTCTTGAATGTATATACCTGTAGATTTCAAATTCAACACAAAGGGATACAATTCATAGAAGCAAAATAAATGTGTACATGAAATAATCACAGAATCATAGAATGGCCTGGGTTGAAAAGGACCTTAAAGCTCATCTAGTTCCAACCCCCCTGCTGTGTGCAGGGTCGCCAACCAACAGACCAGGCTGCCCAGAGCCACATCCAGCCTGGCCTTGAATGCCTCCAGAGATGGGGCATCCACAGCCTCCTTGGTGAACATGTTCCAGTGTGTCACCACCCTCTGTGTAAAAACTTCCTCCTAATATCTAACCTAAACCTCCCCTGTCTCAGTTTAAAACCATTTATTCTTGTCCTATCACTATCCACCCTCATAAACAGCCATTCCCCCTCCTATTTATATGCTTCCTCCCACTGGAAGGCCACAATGAGGTCTTCCTGGAGTCTTCTCTTTTCCAAGATAAACAAGCCCAGTTCCTTCAGCCTTTCCTCATAGGAGAGGTGCTCCAGCCTAATGTGTAGAAAAAGTCAGAAAAAATATAACAAAGTGAATCTGTTTATCTGAGTATTTAGGAATGTGTTAGCCAGACACGTGTTCCCCAAGAAAAAAGTTAAAAAAGCAAAGTTGCAGTCACACTGATGAATGCAAGCACATGTTTATAACAAGTGGACAAATTAAGATGGAAATCCAAAGTATATTTTTAAACAAACAAAAACAACAAGAAGAGAAAACATGTAAGAAAATTTTTGTATTTCAAGAGAAGAATTTAAGAGTTTTATAAGAAATAAACAAAACTTCACAAGAGTAGTGAAATCTAAGAGTTGTTCCAATCTTTGATAAAAACAGTTGGTAACAACAGGTTAAATATGTAGTGTTTCCTTTCCTATTAATTGCTTTAAATTAAAAGCTAAGATGGTAAATCTCCAGGAACGTGGAAGGGCATTAATATGCAAAATACTATTAATATTTGAAGTTACAATTTGTATATATGAAAAACTGTACTGTTTATATTTAACCAGTGTGTGAAGGTCACTCTGAAAGTAATGCCTCCTATTTATTTCCATGGAAACAACAGCAGATACAGACAGCACAATAACACTACTTCACAGAGAATATTCTCCACTACAAAATTTTGTTTTTCAACATAGTCACCACATTTAGCCAACTCACACAGATGAGCTGATCAAGATGCTCTTCATTTTGTGGTGTGGCAGCTGTGCAAGACTGTCCAGAATGTGGCTTGTCTTTCAGATCACTGTCACCACCACTGAAATGCACCATCCACCACCTCACTGTGCTCACATCCACTGTTTAGTCTCCATAGACCTTCAGGAAGCGTTGATCAGTGTCAGTGGGTACCATTTTTATGCATGGAAAAAATTCAGTGATGCATCTTTGCTTTATCTGCACTTCCATGTCAGACTCCATTCCGTCAGACTGTCCCTCTGCTGCCATCTGTCACACGGCAACAAAATGTAGCAGAATACTGGTGGAAAGGTTCAACCTCTACTGCTATACCAACATCCACCTCTGACATTATGGGTGTACACAATAAAACAGGAGGCATTACCTTTGGAGCAGCCCTCAGATCACTATGGTGCAATCAGATTTTAATTTCTACAAATACTGGTAATAGTACTTTCTACAGTTATCATAATCCAGACAACTAAAGTGCAAAAGCTGTAATTTTTCATAGTACTAGGAAAACAGAAAACTGCACTTGCTTCTCTCTAGTAAAGCAATTCCCCTAAAATAACTTTTTGTAATTTAGTAACTCTTCCATTGCCAAAGAACTCTGAATCAACTTTCTAGACAAAATCACAAACAATTTGGCCTCCATGAATGCAATGGCAGATTGGTTTAGAACCAGATTTCACAGTCTTTATTCTAAATCTTAAGTTGTCATCATCTCTTTTAGGGAATGTTTGGCCAAAGCTTGTAAGGATTTATCATACTCCTTACTGGGAGGAAACAATGGTAAGAATTCACTCCGTAGTTAGTGAAATTTGCTAGCATATGAGGTCCACCTACAAACTCACTTATTCTCATTTTCCAGAACTGCAATATGAGAGTCTCAGTTCTTAATTATCATAATCCTAAGAGATCTTTTAACCTCAAAGAGCCATAAAAAAGTTGTATTATATTTACAGCTCCAAAAAACATACCTTGTCACCATTAATCTCATGTGCTGTGATTCATTATCTGACCTTCCCTTTCAAGAAGTGTGTATGAAGGAGACCACGGAAAGACAGCTTCTTAAACACCCTGACAGCTCAATTCTCTTTTGATCTTCATTAGTCTTAAAAACCACGTGCAGTCAAAAAGGTTTATATATTTACCATCAGCTTGGGGATAAAAACTCCTATATCCTACCTACAGTCAGAACTTTGCTGACTTGCCTGCAGCGCTAGAAAAAGCATAGATGTGTTAACACTTGGTTTGATAATCCATTCCCACTTCTTGACAAAAATATTAATTCTACAGTGCTTTGTACTCTGTGTGGTTTAGTGCAGAGAATACTTTACGCTTCCTTATTTCATATACAGAACAAATGACATTTTCAATGAGTTTATTTTACTCTGGCACTGTTTCTTAACAAACAGCTACAACAAGTAACGTTGTCCCAGTATTTGGTTATTAAATGTGCCTGAAACTAAACTAGAGAAAAACTGAAATAGCATTCAAGAAAGTTATAGGGAGAAATCAGAAGACTGGAAACAGTTATCTCTGCCTTCTTTTTTTTTCCCCCTCCATTTAGCCTACCTTTGCCACAGTCTAAAAATCCAATTGCACTTTTCCTAGTCTCAAAAAGCATTCCTCAGCAGTGCTGTCAATCCCTATCTCGATCTGACTTAAGAAAATATTTCTGAGCACATACTTTGTTGCCACAGCCTATTCCTTTTCAACCTCAAGATTAAATAACTGAAGTATTTACTGTTTCACTGGACTGTACATTCTACAAATCACAGATGACGCAGAACGTAATCTTGGTAAACTGCATACCTCAGTTTGACAGTAATGCCCTATAACATGCAGTATCTGCTGATTTTTGACCTTTATTATTTTGAATGGCATACAGTTTGCTTTTTGGACAGTTATCTTCTGTTTTCAGTATAGAAATCCTGTTATAATAACCAGCTGCATTCAAAAATTGAAATTGAAGTTCTGTACCTGGCTAAGTGAAATATCCAAACGGCAGTCTTCACCTCATGCTTCCCAAGAATTGATTTAATACAGGTCATACATTTCCTGTTGTTCTACTCCCTGTCCCACTTCAGTCTGTAGATCAAACTTAAGGAATTAAAATATTGTTCAAATACTTTTAAGACACTGACCATCACATCGTGCATTAACGATACCTCATGTTTTTTCCTTTCAAATAAGCATATGGATAGATCCGCAACCTAATCTTGCTTTCTTTTTCTTTCTCACTTCAGCGTAGAAGAAAGCAATTACTGTGCTTACACTTGTGCTTCAGAGGCAGGCACTGCTATGTTTGCAGCTGACAAGGTCTCTACCTAGGGAGCTGGTCTCAGACACTTCCTACTATTGGCCAACTCCATGAGAGTGATCCGCCTCGCAGCAAGGCTGGGTTGCAAACAGGCAGAACCAGATTCCCCAAGTAGAAAGTAATCAATTTGCCTGTCTACTGCAGTTGCAGAAGTCAGCTTCTCTCTCGCACTGCTGCACTTGAAGATGAGCCCTTGGACAATTATTTAAGGACTAGGAGCAGAAAGCATGCTGAAAAGACTTACCAGAATGCCACTCAGGATACAGTACTTGGGAAAATATTCAAAACAATATTTGTCTCATTATACTCAAGCTTAGCCTCCAGAGTTC